CCCAAACCCTCTCCCAGTCCCTTCCCAGCCCCACCAGGACTCATCAAGACTCCTTCCAGTCTCTTCCCAGCACAACCAACCTCATCCTAATCCCTGTTTTCCAATGCCCAATCTCCTTCCAGCTCCTCCAGGCTCACTCAAATCCCTCCCAGTGACACCCAGCACCCCCAAACTCCCTCCCAGTGTCCACCAGGACCCCCAGAACCCCATCCCACCCTCCCCAACATCCTTCAAACCCCTTCCCAGCCATCCTAAGCACCTCAATCCCTTCCCCAGTTTAAACCAGTCTATCTCAAACTCCCTCCCAGTTCCTCCCAGCACACCCTAATCCCCCTCTGGGCCCCCCCAGTGCCTCCCCTTCTGTCCCCGACGCTGTGGGGGCCGGGCCGTGCCCCAGTGCCGGCTCAGGGGGTGCTCCAGGCTGCCGTGCTCCACCTGGCAGCTGGAGCTGAGCCCGCATTGCCGGGGGAGTTTCCAGCAGCACCAGGAGCTGCTGGCTCCAGCTCAAGGGCACCAGCGAGATGGACACGCTGGAGGGCACTGGGAGAGAGTGGGGACACACTGGGATCAGCTGGGTGTGAAATGGTGCCAAGGCCGGTCAGCTCTTCCTCAGCTCCACGCCAGGAGTGGAACACACCTCAGGAGCAGGATGACCCGAGATGTGGCTTAGAGCAATGCTCTACAGCACTTAACAGCTGTCAGGCACAGTGTGGAGGCAAGAATGGGGGGAAGGTCTTTTATATTGGGGTTCAGAGAAAGGTTTAGTCTCCCAAGGGTCCAGGGACAAAAGACACAGAACACAAGTGTACAGCAATTTATATATGGGGAGGGCCCAGGGGTGGATACAATTTCAACCAGTGAGGGATATCCTGGGGAGGGGAATAGGACACATGGACCAATGGGGTGCTGTGGATTAGGGGATTTCCAAAGGGGACGTCCAAGCAGGGGGTTGGCATAAGGCAGGATTGACAGGGGACATTTGGGAACAAGGGGCAGGGTGGACAAGATTGATAGGGAAGGTACTGGAAAAAGGGGTTGGGATACAATGATAGGCAGGGCAGGGGAGGAGATAACTTTGGGTTAAACCAACAAAGCAGGGGGTAACAGAACAAACCACTTATAGAAACAACTTCAAACGTTAAATTAAACAAAAACACACCACAACATCTCCCTCTTTTCTGTTTAAAAGGAAGAGCTGTGGTTTTGGGGGATCCATTCTCATTTTGGATACACATCTCCCCAGCAGGGCTGGTCAGTTGGCACTTCTCCCTGATTGACCTCTGCAGTGGGAGAGCCCTGGGAGGGCTCGCTGAGCCTTGTACAGCGGGGCCTGCCGGGCCAGGCCGGTCCCTGGCTCGTCTGCGGGGGGTCCTAGGGTGTGAGGATGGGGGGTTTGGGAGGGTTCCAGTCCTGGATACAGGGGTGCACGGGGGTCCTGCTGCAGCGGAATGGGAGTTCAGGGGGGTCCCTTCCTCTGTTCTGGGGTTCAAGGGGTCCCAGTGCCTGAAAATGGAGGTTCAGGGGGGTTCTGGTGCCCAGAAATGGGGGTTCTGGGAGGTTTCCATTCCCGAGAATGGGGGTTCAGAGGATTCCAGGTTCCAGATAAGGGGGTGCAGGGGTTTTTGGGGCTGGGGAAGGGGGTACCAGGGGGTCCCGGTGCCCCAAAATGAAAGTTCAAGGGGGTCTCTGTGCCCAGGAAGGGGGGTTTACCCAGAAATGGAAGTGCAGGGGTTCCCCATTCCCAGTGTAATAAATGGAATTGATTCGTGCTACTTAAATTGCAACTGTTACTAAAGTTATCATTAGAAACGATCAAGAATTAGTGTTACAAAGCAGATGTACCCCTTTGCAGATGTTACACGTCAAAATTAAGGTACAGGATGTAGTTTAGAAAATAAATGGTCAGTAAAATCAGAAAAAGGAGGAAACTTATGGGAAACATTAATGAATATGTATAAGCATACAGTATATAAGTTTAGCTTGAAGTGCTTTGTTTCGTACGTGAGGTGAGGTGAGAAGAACCCCCCACACCCCAGTCGGTTTTGCTTATGCCTTAAGCTTGTAACCACTGGCCAATTATATTCACATATATATATATATAAAAATATATATCTGAATATATCTACTAAATTGTATCTCTTTTTTACTAAATTGTATTCTTTTATTATTTTGTATCCAATTTATTAAGCTATGTTATCAATTAATTAAATTTGATTGTTTGGAAATTTGAAAGTCATTTATAACACTACTATATCAAAAGCAGTTAGAAGTGATTACAAACTGTGCTATATCAAAATCGTTGTGATTATAATAATTTGGAAAAGCCAGCACATAATAGCAAAGGGCAACAACAACATAGTTCTTTATCACAAACACAGGGCAGGTTTTTCCCTTGCATGGAGCACTTGGGCCTTCCCCGGGCCCCTTCTGCCCTCCCGCAGAACCAGAGGCATTTTCCAGCGCACACAGTTTGTAAGCAAGAGCCGGCTGCAGCCCAGAAGGCTCCAAGCGCCTCCTTCCAGGCTGACTCTGCAGATGCCGAGGCTGCTCTGGGCTCTGCCAGGCTCTGCTGGGGCTCAGCTCTGGGCGAGGCTGGGCCCGCTCTCCCCTCGCAGTGCTCCGGGCAGCTGAGTCACAGCGGGAGAAGGACAGGACACCTCAAGGGATTGAGGTTTAACAGAGATTTTATTCAAATAACTGCCATAACAAACAGGCTGTCCTAACCTACTCTAACTAACTAACAGTGTTAACTAACATTACTAACTACTTGTCCTAACTACTATAACGAAAAGCTGGCCTCCTGTGCTTCATCTCCTCCTGCGCTGCTCCCTCAGTTGCTTTGCTGCAGTGATCAGAGGGGTCAGGCTGGAGAGAGGCTTGGCTGATGACAAAAATGGGTGCTGCCCAAGGGATAAAAAAGAAAGAAATGAACTGTTACTTTCCAGACTCAAGTTCCTCACAGGCTCTGTTGCAACAGGACAAAGGGGAATGGTTTGAAAGTCAAGAGAGGGAAGCAGGCTCAGATTAGATGTAAAGAAGAATTGCTGTAGCAGGAGAGTGGGGAAACACTGAGAGAGGGAGCCCAGAGATGTGGGAGGTGGCTCCTCCCTGGAAACATCCAGGCTCAGGTCAGGCAGGGCTCTGAGCCACCTGATGTGCTTGAAGATGTCCCCGCTCGTGGCGGGCACCAGCTCCAGATGAGCTCGACAGGAGCCTGCCAAGCCAAAGCAGGCGAGGATTCTGCTGGCTTTGCGTGTGAAAAGCAGCGGGACTGGAGATGATGGGAGGGGGCCCCACAAGAAAAGCCCTCCCTGGCGCTGCCGTTTCCCCCGCAGCCGCTTGGCATTCACCTGCAGCAGCTCCTGGGCAGAGAAGCGCCGCTCCTCGTCCGGCTCCAGGCTGCACTCGAGGAAGTCCCGCAGCAGAGCCGACAGGCGCCTGGGCTCCTGCAGCTGCGGGCTCCCGTTCT